TATCTATCTATAGACAGGGCTTTGCTAAGTTCTCCAGGCCAGGCTTGAACTTGCAATCTTCATTCCTCAGCCTCTCAACTTGCTGGGGCTACAGATGTGCACCACTGCACCCAGCCTAGAGTTAAAATATTTTAAGTTCTAAATGGGGAGACTTTATACTATGTAACCAAAACGGATTTTTTGTGTCACTGAACACCTGTTTTTTCAGTGAACAGTTTGGAACAGGGGTCTAAGACTGTTGAGGATTTCCAGGTTTTTCTGAACAACTGATTAAAGCATAAGACATGCATATAAACATTTAAGTTCTCTATAAATTTGAAGAGCTCACACAACCAAGGTTAAAAATCTTCCATAGTAAGGAGGTCTAAGTCAGGTATAGTGCATGCCTGTAATCCCAGCAACTCAAGAGGTTCTCAAGTTCAAGGGCAGCCTCAGCAATTTAGCAAAACCTGCCTCAAAAAATGCAAAGGACTGGAGATGTAGCTCAGTGTTGTAGAGTGCCCCAGAATTCAATCCCCAGTACCAAACACACACACACACACACACACACACACACAGATGATAGATTCTAGGGTAAGTAAAGCAAGTGGCACCTTGCCCTATGAATTTACCGTGGCCTAATATCTGGAGTGCTAATTTAAACTTAAGATTTTTTTTCCACTTCTTACTAATCTAGAGAATGACAGAAGATTTCCATAGATGTTAAGTGATTTTACTATTTTTATTTAATAATAACAAGCCAGTGCAATGGCGCATGCCTGTGATCCCAGCAGCTAGGGAGTCTAAAGCAAGAGGATCACAAGTTCAAGCCTGAAAAGGGCGACAGATGTAGCTCAGTAGTAAAATACCTCTGGGTTTAATTCCCAGTACCCTAAATAAAACAAACAATGTACATAAACTTTCTCTTACCATGATTACTGAAGCAGACAGATATTATTTAGATTTTTCTTCAACAGCTTCAATCAATTGATGGTTGAAAACCAGCAGTAGAAACCAGGAAGGCCAAAATCTGAAGAATGGACCAACTTTACACAGAGCTAGATTTGAAAGTTAACACTCTTTGTTGAGAGACTGACAAGGCAGTAACAGTGAGGCTTGGGAATTCCTTCACATTGTTGTTTTTCTGAGCTGCTAAATGTATAATTTAATTTTCTTTTCCATACTCTACCTTAACTCCTTCATTCCCAACAGATGGTCTTGCTTTGGAAAAATAAGGCCTTTGGTATGAAATTTCATAATTTGTTTTCCTTGCACCTCCAAATTTA